ATTTGGAACGAATTTGGAAATTTTCCATAAAAATAAAATCCTTTAAAAATTCTGTTAAAATCTTAAAAATACCGAATATAGCGGTTATATTGTGATCTATACGAAGAAGTGAACCTGCATAGGCAACTGTTGTTATAAGCCATTACAATATTCTAATGCGAAACTTGAACAAGTAAAAAAGCTGTAAGTTCGGCCGAGCCGAACTTTGAATACCCTCCACCATTTGAAATTTTTCAAAATTATAAAATCCGTTAATAATTCCGTTAAAATCTTAAAAATCCCAAATATAGCCGTTATATTGTGATCTATACGAAGACCTGGACCTGATTCTGTCACAGGCTGTAGTATCTATTAGGAATTTCAAATAAGAAATTTCCAACAGTTTCCGTGAATATTGCACCTAAAATCGTCAAAATACCGAATATAGGGATGTAGTGGCTTATGGGACCTATACAAAGTACTGGACCTGCACAGACAATTTTCTGTCATAGGCTGTAGTATCCATTACGAACTTCAAATACCAAATTTGAAATAATTCCCGTTAATAGTTTCGCTAAAATCATGAAAATACCGAATATCAGGAGGTACCGTAATATGGGGGCTATACGAGGACGTGGACTTGCACAGACAATTTTTTGTCATAGGCTTTAGTATCCACTACGAACTTCAAATTACTAAATTTGAAACAATTCCGGTGAAAAATATAGCTAAAATCATCAAAATACCGAATATTGGGAGGTACACTTATATGGGGGCTATATGAAGACATGGACCTGCACAGACAATTTTCTGTCATAGGCTGTAATATATACTTCGAACTTTTAATACCAAATTTGAAACATTTCCGGTTAATAATGTCGCTAATATCATCAAAATACCGAATATAGGCAGGTACACTTATATGGGGGCTACATGAAGACTTGGACTTGCACAGACAATTTTCTGTCATAGGCTGTAGTATCCAATACGAACTTCAAATACCAAATCTGAAACAATTCCGGTAAATAATGTCGTTAAAATCATCAAAATACCGAATATCGGGAGGTATCGTTATATGAGGGCTATACGAAGACGAGGACCTACATGGTCTATTTTGTGGCTTAGGTTGTAGTATCTATTACAAACTTCAATTACCAATTTTGAAACAATTCCGGTGAATAATGTCCCTAAAATCGTAAAAATACCGAATATCGGGTGGTACCGTTATATGGGGGCTATAGAAAGACGTGGACCTGCACAGACAATTTTCTGTCATAGGCTGTAGTATCTACTTCGAACTTAAAATATAAATTTTGAAACAATTCCGGTGAATAATGTCGCTAAAATCATCAAAATACCGAATATCGGGAGGTATCGTTATATGAGGGCTATACGAAGACGAGGACCTACATGGTCTATTTTGTGGCTTAGGTTGTAGTATCTATTACAAACTTCAATTACCAATTTTGAAACAATTCCGGTGAATAATGTCCCTAAAATCGTAAAAATACCGAATATCGGGTGGTACCGTTATATGGGGGCTATAGAAAGACGTGGACCTGCACAGACAATTTTCTGTCATAGGCTGTAGTATCTACTTCGAACTTAAAATATAAATTTTGAAACAATTCCGGTGAATAATGTCGCTAAAATCATCAAAATACCGAATATCGGGAGGTATCGTTATATGGGGGCTATACGAAGATGTGGACTTGCACAGACAATTTTCTGTCATAGGCTGTAGTATCCATTACGAACTTCAAATACTAAATTTAAAAAACTTCCGATGAAAATATCGCTAAAATCATCGAAATACCGAATATCGGGAGGTACCGTTATATGGGGGCTATAGGAAGACGTGGACCTACATGGTCCATTTTCTGTTTTATGCTGTAGTATCTATTACGAACTTCAAATACCAAATTTGAAACAATTCCGGTAAATAATGTCGCTAAAGTCATCAAAATACCGAATATCGGGTGGTACCGTTATGAGGGGGCTATACGATATCGTGGAACTATATAGATAATTCTCCTTCAAGGGATAAAGTACCCACAAGGAACTCCTTGTGTGGATTTTCAGACAATTCTGTTGAAAAATGTGGGTAAAATCATAAAAATACCGAGTATCGGGGCGTACCGTTATATGGGGCTATACGAAATCGTGGACCTACATAGATAATTCTCTTCCGAAGTATAAAGTACCCACAAGGTACTCCTTGTCTGGATTTTTAGACCATTCCATTAAAAATTGTGGGTAAAATCATCAAAAATACCGAATATCGGGGAGTACCGTTATATGGGGGCTATACGAAATCGTGGATCTATATAGATAATTCTCTTCGGAGGTATACAGTATCCACTAAGGACTCCATGTTTGGAATTTCAGACAATTCCATTGAAAAATGTTGCTAACATAATCGAAATGCCGAATATCGGGGTGTACCATTATATGGGGGCTATACGATATCGTGGACCGATATAGCCCATCTTCGAACTTGACCTGCCAGCAGACAAAAGAG